ACGACGACCACGACGACGACCACCACGACCACGACAATGACAACGACATCGACAACGACAACCACAACGACATCAACGACAACAACCACCACAACATCAACATATCCCCCGTATTCCCCCGTATTGTTTCCCCTAGGAGATGATTGGAACCAAGTCCCGTAGAGAAGGGAACATTAGCTAGTAACACATGGCCCATATGTTGCTAGAGCCCCACCGTTTTCTATAAAAGCAGTTTGAAAATTTCACTGGTAACGCAATCAGTTGTTTTACCCTTCCTTACCAATTCCTAGAGGACATCTATGGCTGTCTTATGCTTGAAAATAGTGGGATATGAGAATAGGTACAAGAGCACTTTCTAGACGTTTGGCAAAGCAGCTGCATTTTCTAGAACGTTTGGTATATCAAGGTTTACCTTGAAATATTAAGGGGGATATCAACATCAACAGCAAGAACAGACTCAATAATTAACTTCAATTGGGACGACTACAAACATCCACAACACAATAGGATAATACACAGCAAAAGTACAAACAGTTATATAACAATAACAACACAATTTGACTGCTAGTAATTCATCGCATATAACGTAACTTGAACTTTGAAGCTTAGGTTTTATATCAAATTTATCAACATGCTGGAGCACTGCATCCGAGTTTCGACCGGTTTGACCCGGATTCTGACAGAGTTTGCAATGCATTGGACCTTTTATGCAGGATCTAGGTATACGTACCTGCACCATCCTGTTTGGGTGTCCTGTCTGGAGATCCATCCTGTTTGGGTAGTCCAGCCAGGACACCCAGACAAGATGGTCCTGGTATGAAAACCCGTTGGAATCCTCGGAGTCGCTCCCGTGGTCTCCCAACCGGAGAAAGCTCCGAGGCAGCAAGTCTCCAAGCAGTGCCGAGAGCAACAGAAGGCGCTGGTCAGAGACCGGTGTAGACAGCCCGCCTGTTCTGTATCGAGAGATCATGAGAGAACCCCCCAAAAGACCAGGCACTGCCTCTCCTTCTTCAATTGTCTTCCCAAAAGATTCGCGAAGCCTTCTGACAACTACTTGTAAGCCACCGGGTCGGGGGATATACGGTATATATATATACATAGTATCACGTATCACGTAGTAGAAGTCCCTTCATCTACCACTTGTGGAGATATGTTTGGGCATCCATCCCTTCTGGTGACTTGGCTGGAAAGCATCCTTGTGGTTAGCCCAGTACCCCAAACCCGAAGCTGTTTGAGCTGACCAAGCGTGGCATTCTTCGTGCTGTTCATGGTGCAAGCTGCCGCACGTTTGTCATGCCGGGTGACGCTTTCCATGAATCTGTTCAACGGAACTCTTGCCTCAAATCCCCCAAGACGGTTTTGGGATGTTTGGGGCAATCCCAATCAAAAGTCCCGACGAGCATGAATTTGATGTCGTAACTGACCCTTTGAGGGGGCATCGTGGGTCAAAGCCCTTCTGTGGAAAGGGCACAGGTTGAAACAGTCTTTGGGATGCTTCTGTCCTTAAGGTTGCATCTACTTGAAGGTATGTTGGACAGAAGCGGCGAGTTCCTCCTTACATAAAGGGTCCACATCATAGAACTCCACATCCACTTTTTTTCCATGGTCTCTTGGAGCTTTCAAACAATCAAGTCTTCCATCAGGTGCACACCTTCGTTTCCCCAAAACCCGGTGAGGCTCGACTCGGCCCGACCTGGGACCAATTCCCAGACACGACTAATGGGACTGGCATAAACATACATTAACCATCACTCACCCCCTTTTCAACAGCCCCAATGGTATTTATGCCCTATATGGAGCGTTTGGGAGTTGCTTCACATTGTTCGGCACTGCCTCAGGGCTACATGGTGGAATTGAAGTCGCGCAAGGGCGTGTGGCTTGGAATGGATCGTGGGGTCCCACCATCCAGTTTGGCATTGTGCACAATTGAGCAAGGCTTGGTGCAAACATTGCCTACTCAATGAATCTAAATGGCATGTGCAAAGACTGGACTGGACCATGTTTTTACCACTTCCAGAAGACCTTAGGGGTTTGATCATGTTTGATCAACCACAGGGGACCGGGGATGCACGTTGGGTTTGGATTTGATTGCAGTACACCGCACTGCGTCGCCTTCTTTGGAGTGAGAGTGAGAGGATTGTAGGGTCAGGTCAGGTCCGGCATGGGATGAATACTCTTGAGATCTCTTGAGACTATTGTGGTTTTAACATGTTTTAACTATGGCAGGTGAACATACGCAGGTAGACTTCCTGTTTCATCCTTGAGGAGTTCATCAAAGTTTGAACACCAGATGAGACTGACAGCTGCACTGATTACAATATACTGTACCAGACTCAGACTCCACAAGTCTAAGCACGGTGTCAATGGCAATTTTTAATACTCAGGCTCTCCGTGGATGGATACTCTGCCTTTTATTCCCCAGTTTTCTGAAGATTGCACCTCTCTCCAAATGAGATATCCATCCTATCTCCTCCAGGGCGTCTGCTGAACCGGGACGCGCACCACGGTTCCGCCCGCGGGGCTGGACTGGGACCCTCTCTCCAGGTCCTCGAGCGAGGCGCTGGACTGGGGGCGGTTGAGGAGCTTCGGACCGGAGCAGGTCGTGGAGGTGAGGTCAACCCCGCTGTGGGTCAAAACCCTGGTCGACCAACAAAAATGAACCGAATAGACTAGCAGGCTGGATCAACCTAACAGGGTTTGGGGCGTACTCACAGCCATTCAGGGTGGCTAGCATGGTGCGAACCTTCGACTGTTCTGTGTTTTGGAGAAAGTACGGGTACCGGTCAGGGTGGCTTGGTCGGAGTAGTTGTTGGGCCACTCCTTCTGTCCCTGAAATCAAAAACTCCATCCAGATGCGATATGAAGATTACTTCATATCCCTTCTTTTTTCATATTTGCCCCCCCAAAAAAACGAAGGGATACTGTATCGTCATATCCATCTCCCTCGCATTCATCTGGGACCGAAGGGATCGAGCGGATTGAATCGGATGGAAGACGACGTCGTACCTGTTGGGCTCAATGTCGGGTGACACCTTCAGTATCATCTGTCATGGGACGCGGCTTCTTTCCCCCCAAAGAGGACTCGACTGAAATGCACAAATTGACCAAGAAGAACACTCTCCCTGGAACTCACATGGTTATGTGGAGTTCACCAGCTGTTTGTAGTGGGAATTGGTCTTCCAGACTCGGGGCCAGAACCATCCACGTAACCATGGGGCCGTTCAGGATTTCAGTCCCTAGAGACGATGGGCCTGTTCTTAGCCTAGACCCTCCGCCGTTAGTGGCATTCTTAAGGTATTGGGATGTATTGGGCACCCATGGACGAGAAGGTATGGACAGCCAACCAAAGCCCCAAAGCCACCTTGAAAAGGGTTGGAGCCCTGGAAGACGATCACATGGACCCTGAAAACCACGTCGGTTGGTAGAGGAAAACAATCTTCTAGGGGGCCAGACAGTCAGGGTCCATGTTAGTTTTTGGGAGTGTAGTTGGAACCCGGATTTGGAAGGGTGGAACCCATGTCCTCATCCTCCACCATGCTCGTTCTCCGCGATGGCCGGTGTTCAAGCGCCCCGTTTCATTTGGTCGGTTTCGCACAAGAGATCCATGAGCGGGCAGGTCGCTGTCCACAAGACGGTCAGTCAAGAATAGGCTTCTTCAGACAAACAGCTGCCTGCCAGAGTTGCCAAAAAACCCATAGCAAGTCCACATGACCAGACTGCCCATCTTGACCAGACTCCCCATGTCAGGCATGTTCCCACTCCATCTTGACCAGAAATTTGGGGAGCTCAAACCAAACCCCCAGCGTTTCAGCTTACGGAGCCTAAGTCAAGGATTAAAGAATTTTCTCTTTCGATCGCACCGACCAGCGGAAGTTTCACCGAGCGAATCGCGGTTCCGTGCGGCCCTCCACGCGCGGAACTGGTGTCCTGGAGTGGATGGATTGGGAGCAAAGAAGAAGAACCCTTCCTTTTGTTGAAAAAGAGAGAGCAATGTGCTGGCATCGAGGAACCCACAAAGATCACTGAACTGGCTTTAAAAAAAAAAAACTGCAAAAAAACTGCCAAATCACACTTTCATCCACCAGGACCTTCAGTCAGCGACCTCATTGGAGTCTTTCTTTGTGACCGGACTAGGTGACCTCGTTCTGGGATCTCAAAAGGCCACTTTGGGGTCCTGACAAGTGATTGGTTTGACGCCTTGGGCGGAGACCTCATGAAATGTATCTATATATGTATCTATATCACCAAGCGCAACCGGTCTCCACGCGGAAAACGTGGCCGGTCGTGTGCCAGGCCTCAGACCTAAACACAACAGAACCCCAAAAGAGAAGGGAACAGAAGTTCCCGCATGCAAATGAAAGCAAACTAAAGAACAGGAAGCCTCCAGGAAGCAAGCGTACGGCCAGCTCCAAGAGAAAACAAACGCGCCAAATGAACAAGGGCGGCGTCATCAAGGAACACAGCTGCACCCTTAATCGAACCTTGCGGCAAGGTTTTCCCTGCCGCTTTGGCAATGGGGTGTTTGATGGAGGATCGGGGTGTATCCACTCACTTAGGATCCAAAAACCACCCCTTTGGAATTTTGGTATATCCCTAGGGCTTCCAACTATCTCCTGAGAAGGTGGTTGGGGTGGTGTTGGGCATGTGGTTGGAGCATGTTGGAGCCAATACTTTAGAATTTAGAATTATATAGATAATAAATATAGATAGATAGGTAGGTGGGTAGATCTATGTAACATTCAGGACATATCCATCAATAAAAGCCACCAGCACAACCCAAAGGGTGGTTGTTGGATCGAAAATAAATGTTCAGAGGTGTCTAAAAACCATATACGTGTTCAGAGTCAGAGGTGTCTAAAAATTGCTGGCATGGGCTTCCATATATATACTTAAACCGTATAGCCTAACGATTGCTGGAAATTCTGACAGCAGAACCCCTTTCTTTGATCCTCAAGGTGGGTGGAATTGGATTCACCCACTGCCCAGATGGCAGGAATCCCATGACGTGGCGGAAAACAAAAGCTGCAGCCCAGCAGTTCCATGAACTCCCATCCGAGATCCGACTCACGGGTCGACAGCAGATCGGGGTGCGAGTGAGGCGCATGGCGAATGCGACGGAAGAGTGTGAGGTGCGGTGTCCGTACTTGGGAGGAGGTCCCGGGTTGGTGGGCAAGCGGTGTTTCGCTAGTCAGACGTATGTCCTCCTGAAAAGCGAGCTTAGTGGCATCCTTTCTACAACTGGTAGGAGGTTTAAAAGTGAGGTTGATTTTGTAAAAATGACATTTTGATCTTCCAACAACTAGGGCCCCCTGTCAGGCCCTAAGGGGTCCCTTAGAGGTGATGCGGGGTATCCATTCACGGGTGGTATGTGGTCCCACAGGTGTCTCTCCTTTAGTTTAGCCATCCACTTAGGGAGTAAACCAAGACCACTCACTCCGTGTCACTCCTTGGACTGGTTGAAATTGGCCGACATTGCCCCCCTGAAATCAACCACCCCAACTGATCGGCAAATGTGGTAGTCCCATTGACCCTTGGGTGATGTTATCATCCTTTGGCCTGGAACATCTTTTTGGGTGGAATGTCTATAGTGTTCTTGATCATTACAGATGGTTGAATCATTGTACCATGGTTCGCCGAGCCAGTGAATCCCAGCGCAAACACCGAGTATTGATTGGCTATTTCATGCTATTTGTTTGTCCACCTTGGCAACCTCACCGCGGCACACTCGTCGCCACTCGTCGCCTGAGGTGAAAATCTGCGAGGTGGGTGGAGAGGGCCTTTTTCTGCCGCTCTTCGGAGATGCGGAACAGGCCGAAAGACTGGGCGAAGGTCTTACGGAGTCATTCGTGCGGTTTCAGCGGAGACACCATGGTGTTTTCATGTGTTTCCGGAATGATGAGGTTTCATGTGGCGTTGGTGGTGCTTCACCACTGCGTTTCCTTTGTGTTTCAGGTCTGGCCTTCGGGTCTTCGAGGCTTCCTCTACCTCATCGGCCTCTTATGGACTTTTATTGGCGTAGCCCCTTGGATCTGCGAGTTCGCAGGGCGGAGAAAGACGGTGATTGATGAGGGGAATCAAGTCACCATCTGAATTGGATTCGCCCCCCCCCCAACGTTATCAATCAATATGAATGGTTGGTTGGGTAGGGACATATTGAGATGTGAAACATATAGCGGGGATCCTCAATCTTGGATGCCATTTTGGCTCAAGATTGGGGGCTCCCCTCCTTTTTCTGCCATGCCTGCCATCCTATCCACCGAGCTGTCGACGTGGAGGGTGGTGGCACGGCGGTGGAGGCGGGGCAACAGGGGCAGGGAGGCCAGTACGCTACCCCGTGAGGAGCGGCTGGCCTCCCTTGCGGCCCGGGGCGCCTTCATTGAGTCCCAGTGGCACCAGGTCTACCGGGCGCCGGACATCCAGGCCGACTGGTGCCGGACGTGTGCCCAGTGGACCACGTCCTGGTGCGAGGGCTGCTACAGCCGTTGTGGTCGCGGCGGCGCACCTTTTGGAGCCATCTGTCACCAGTGTGACAGCGAGAAGCGGGTGTGTGACAAGTGCACCACCCAGGGCATCTCGTGGGACCAAGGCCACCAGCGCTACGTGGAGGACCATGGCGGAGAGCAGGAGGCGGCGGTCCAGATCGAAGGGTTTGGAACCCAAGAGTCGGCCCCGCACTTCCATGAGGTCGACCACTTTGAAGCTGCTGGTTTTGCTAATGAGTTATGGCTGTTAAGAGCATTAGCTAAAGAGTTAGTAACTAGTTATAACTAGTTAGTAAAAGCTGATTTTTTAAAATTCCAAAGTCAAATTTTTTTAAAAATGTAAAATATATTTTTGTTTTTTGTCGGCCAAAAACACAATGTGTTCCTTTTAAACTCCAAAAAAAAGGAAAGCAGGTACATGCACAAGTAAATCCCACGAATGTTTCAACCAAACATGTTGGCATTGAACATTTAAAAGTCATACACTATATGAAAGATGGGCACCAACCTGGAACGCTTCTGCAGGTATACTAATGACAACAAAATGTACTGCATTGTCCATTTGGTTTGGCTTTCCAAAATACAAAAACAAAAAATACAAACAATCCAAAGATTGGTGCCACAAGCAGCTGATTTGGCATTTGGTGATGAAAAACAAGCAAACACTTCAAGAGCCTATACAGGCTGTATAGCCTTCAATGGCAAATGTAGCATTTGCAGGCCTATACAGGCTGTAGCCTACACATGCCAAAACATAAGCTTGCAAAAGCTAACCTCGTACCAGAACACAAGCTTCCAAAAACTATGTGCAATTGTGAAACAGATTTTTCACTCTGGGCAAGACAAAAGTGCAGGGGTCAAACAGGTGAGTGTGCCATCCTTTCCATGTGAATGGATGACAGGCTGCAGCACTTCTCTCACATCCACCAACTTCAAAGCACCACCTGCTTGCCATTTGCTAGATTCTGTGCCAGCCCTGAGGCCAAGAAGTGTGAACATGTCCACCAGGCACAGCAACAAGCCTGCTGCATCAAAGAAATGCTTGACTTGACCACACTGCCAAAACTCATTGCCACCAGGATGCTTTTGCATGAATACAACATCATCTTTGTAACAAGTTGCCCCATTCTGCAAGATGCAGCGCTTTGAGTACACCATGCCAGGAACAAAGCACTGAAGCTCTTGAAACATCTTTTCCAGCTTCTTGGTGAGGCCAGAAGGGTTGATCAAATGGCAACTGGCCTTGAACAAATCATGTTGGGTCACCAAGGTGTTGATGTGTTCCATGGAAACAGCACTCAACAACCCCTTCTCATAAGTTACCAACTTGCAGTGGACACTTCCAAACTTCCTGGGTTGCTTATGCTTTCTCTCAAGTGCCCAACAGGCTGGTAATTGTGACCATCTCCTGAGGCAGTCTGCAAAATGTAGGCACCAATGAAATTTTGGTTTCATTTGATCAGCAAAGCCTCCAGCAACTGTTGCTGCCATCGCCTTTTCCACCAAGCTCAAAAGTTTGGTAGGTGAATTGTCTGACAAGAAAGGCAAAGAGGTCAAGTAATCAAGGACTTTTGTCCAGCACACATAAGCCTTGCATTGCACCACCATGATATTGTGTGCTAAATACATCACTTTCAAGAAGTGCTCCACAGGCTTGTACACCTGCAAAAGTTGAGAGGCATCGCATTTAAAGGTTCCAGCTTTTCTGTTGCTTGCCACAGCCTTGCCTTCGAACAATTTCTCAATGTCGGAAATGGAGTAAGCTCTGGGGAATGACCACAATTCCATCCAATCCTTGAGATTGTCCCAAGGCTTGAGACCAGACTCAGATTGGTGGATGCTTTCAACAACCAAGAAGAGCATATCATTTAGCACTCCATGGCTGCACAGGCCATGCATGTAGTCGAAGGCATACAATGAAACTGGTTTCAACAGATTGTTGTTCAACAGCTTCTCACTGGACAACAGAGCATGCACAGAGTATGACAAACCTGCTGCTTGTTGCCTCAGATCGAACTCTTTTTTGGACACTGTGTGCAGTTGCCTTCCCAACCTTTGCCAACTGCTGACCACCTCTGTGTCTGTAGCAATCTGCAGCTGATCATGTTTCAAGAATTGAGAGAAAACATTGCCACCTCCTGCTTCAAGAGTACTTGCATCCCTCAGTTGAAACAAATTCTTGCATAGGAAGCATGGTTTGCTTCCTGTGTCTTGTCGACTTGCCCATACAGACTTCTGGGCAGCACCATCCTGTAGAATCATGCTGAGGGTGAAGTGAAGCCTCAGAGACCCCTTAGGTGATGTCAAGAGCACACCTGTCTCAGGCACCCCACTTGCAAAAATGTCTTCCAAGACAATGCGGAACAGTTGTGAGATACCTGCTGCAAAGGTACCAACTTCTTGGCTTCTGGAAATTGCTATGCAAAACCAACAGTCAGATTTGCTCAAGAATCTATTAAATTCCAAGAAGGATATGTAGATGCACCATGACTTTCTGCTAGTGGAATGCAAGATGTTGCCAGGATGCACCTCATCACAGTAAGCCACACATCTCCAAGGTCTCTCTACACTTGATGGTGTCACTGCATGCAATTGAAGCAAAAAGTCAGTGAAAGCTCCAGCTTTGTGGAATGTTCCAGACAATAGTGACAGAAAGTTGATGTAAATGGTCTCCTTCTTTGTGTTGTCAACTGTTGTGACCTCTGCATGTTTGAAAAAAGGACCATACATGGTCATGCTTGAGTCCTCCAAGAAATCCTTGGTCTCTTTCCAAATTGCATACCTGGATAGATTCTCAGGTAGCCCTCCACTCTCAATCTCTTTGCAAATTGCAGCCAGTGCAGTTTGGGAGCAGAAAGGAAGAGATGACCTCAAGTCACTGATCTTTCTTCTTTTGGAACCACCTTTGTCATGCTCCATGGCTCTCTAAAGCACATGTGGTGCAAGTACCAAACTCAAACTAAATGAAGCTTCAATGCTTGTATATCCTACCAAATGAAACTTCAATGCAAGTTTTTTGCAATCTTTACTAAATTCAACTTCAATGCTTGAAAACTTACCAAATTAAACTTCAATGCTTGTAGAAACTACCTTGTGTTTCTTTCATATCAGCTGCAATGAAAAGGACACATGTATGGGTAAGTATGGAATGCCCTCAAGTTACTGGTTGCCTGTAATGGCTGCCTGCAATGGCTGGAATGAGCCTGGAGTGGCAGCCTGTAATGGCCTTTGGGTTTGCTATCTCTTTTTCTTTTCACTCTATCACACTGCCACTGAGTTAGGTGCGAGGCCACTCACCATGCTCCACATAGTGCTCAATCATCTTCTCCACAGTAGCCACTTCCTGGTTGGACAGGTCAAGGTTGCCCTGGATGTGCATCACAAAGTCTGAGGCAAGCATCCACTCTTGCCAACCTGGCAGGGTGCCACCAGCAAAGTTTTGTATGCTGAGCCTACATGCAGAACACACTTTGGTTGTCTACAGTGCACATACCATAACATTTGCTGAGACCAAGCCTCCAGGGAGCTCCTTCACATACCATATAGTCTTCTCCCCATTGTGCCCATACCAAGCTTTGAAAGTTGCCACAGGAGTCACCATGGCTTGAGCATTCTCCATCTGGTTGCACCTCACATGGCTACATGAACTTGCTTTGGGCCAGGTGCATTTACAACAAAGAAGCATGTATAGGCTCAACATATACAGGAAAAAACTACAAGCAAGCAAACAACAGGTTAGGATCTACAGGCTAGGACTGATACTTGTTTCCAAAATGAGAGCCTGTAGAGGCTGGTTTTGAAACTATTTACAAAGTGTGAGCCTTCAAAGGCTGGTTTGGAAACTTGTATATACATGTTTACACAATACAAAAGGTGAGCCTGTAAAGGCTGGCTTGGATACTTGCAGTTCTTATCCAATACAAAGGTGAGCCTGTAAAGGCTGGTTTGGAAACATGTAGATGCTTACATAATGAACATGTAAAGGGTTAGCTATACATCATAAAGTCATCCAAAATGGCGCCACTCTGGACTCATTTTCCCCATCAGCACCTTGAAGCAGGTGTTCAACAGCGATGCCAGCTGCCCCAAACACAGGATGAACTCTTTGAGAACATCC